TTTTATTATCATTCGATGGATTTTCCCCCATTTTCATTGGCTGGGAGCCTACCACGTGACCTGCAAATAACTGCCTATAAACAATGGCCTGCTCATGCGTACTACAGTCCAACTCCGTTTTTGCTGCAAATAATATTCTGCTCATGCGCAGTAGTAACCACGCTCTTGTGGTCGCTCTTGGGGAAACAAGCTCGCTTGCCGCTTCCCCCAAAAAATTGAAGACAAACTCGGTGATCGAGTGAAAAAACAATTATTCAACTCAGTTATCGAAAAATATCGTGATTTGTCAGTGTCTCGCAGATCAATCGTTTGCCTGAGCCTTCGGCCTCGGCAAGTAATTAACCTGCTCGCCACGGACAAATCACGATATTTTACTCAACCTCGTTCAATAATTGTTAATTATTTGTTGGTGAAGAATTTCTTGGCTTAAATTCAAAATTTCCCTTAGTGGAAAACATTGAAGCACACTCTATGAAGACCAGATTCCCGGCATCCCTGGAATTCCTGGGACCTGTTACAAATAAAGAATTCTCAATAAATGGATGAAACCTTTCGCACAGGACAAAATTTGTTACTTTTGAAAGTAACCTTCAGAACCTACCTCGGCCTAAATAACATCTGTGAGCGTCAGAAATGAAATTCATTAGCCTGTTTTGTCGGGTTGCACTATTCAGTTTACATATGGTCTGGAAAAAGGCGTAAATGGCACTTTCACATCTCGAGTCAAGTTTACAAGCCTGCCAACACTTTATAGGGGAGAAATTCTTTAACCTCCTGAAAGTGTGTCCAATCAACATCTTTTGGAAGAGTGAGGAGTATTCGTTTTGACATTTTTCTGCTTTTCCTCCTTGAAACAGCTAGATAAAAGCCAAAACAGTGATGAAATAAAAATAACTAAGTAACATCAATGCTTTCCTTCTGCCTTATTTACACGGCGCTGATGGAAAAAAGGAAATTTGGTTAGAAGGAAAAGATGATTACTGACCCAAACGTAATTCCTTGCTGACTCAACTCCTCGTGGCGAGTTATAAAATACTGTAGACTTGAACACATCTTGGATTCACCATAAAACGATCCTTTTCAAAACGATTGTAAAAATTAGTGAAAGATATTTCGCCAGTACTTGTACAAAATAACGTTGGACACTCCAGATTATTTAAAAATTGCTCAACACTGCTTAATAGAAAGACCATTTATCCAATCTGTCTAATTGTTAGGCCCGTATCGGTGGATTATCTATTTGATACGTGTTTGCGAAGTAATCGAGCCTTTAAGCACCTGCAGGGGAGGATGTAGATCCTCTCTTGGTTTCAGATAATCTTAAAAAAAATGGCGAGATGTTGAGGGATTACATAAAAGTATCAACCTGCCAAAAACTAACGCTTCTGGCTTTCATCTAAATACTGAGTGTAAAGTCGTCACTGGAGAATTTGTATCAAAGTTTCCAGCATTTGGATTAAGGAAACTTAAGAGGGGAATTAGTAAACAGAAAACATACGCGCGTGCGCACACACACATACACACACACACACACAAAAAAAGAGAAAAAAACAGAGACAAAACTTTACTGGCCTGGTCTAAAACAAAAATTAAATTAAATTAAACTGAATGACTGGCCGTATACAGACAGTTCATAATTTGATGACAAGCTGGTTTGAATACAAACAGCTCTTACAGTGTGCAAAGGCAAAGGCTAAAATACTTTTATTTTCATTTGCTTCATTGTAGTGCATTGTTCATCCAGTTACACCTTACAATCGTTCAATCATCTTGCACCAATCTTGAAAAATTGAAACTGTTTCAAGTGTGTTTATAGGAAACTACCACGAAAAGGTACAACTATAAGTTGGTTAGTCTTTCAGGCCCCATTTGTTCGAAAGTTGGATAACGCTATCCACTAGATAAAACTCTATCCAGTGAGTAACGCTATACGTTTTTCTATCCGTCAGATAGCAATTTATCCGTTGGATAGCGTTATCCGCCTTTTATACAACTGGACCCAGGTAAAGAACTCATCCAAAGCTTTGCCCCCCACTTCCAATGTTGGCCTCATAGCTCAGTCGGTAAAGGTGCCTGGATAGTATCTGAAATACGGGTTGGAATCCTATCCGAGCCAGCATCTTTTAATGCTTCTTTGGAACAGTGGCTAAAATCTTTGTTTGAATTTCATCCGTGGGCAAAATTAAATTTATTTCGTCGCCTCCTCTCTCCTGCCGCTATAAACAACAGAAATGTGTGCGTCTGGCACTTTTGTGTTAGAGCAATTAATAACTAGTATAGACAATCTTACAATGTATACAGAACTCTGAAATGGTGTTTGAAGGCTTGATATTCAAGTGAATGGTGACTGAATGCTTCTGTTTAGCAAGGTAGAGTGTGACAGTCAAGAGGTCCTACTCGGTTTAAATTTACCTCCTACTCTTGCCCCACTGTACGTACTTGACTGCATATACACTCGCTTCAGCTATTTGTAAGTTTTTTTTTTTTTTATCGGGTCTAGTCCCTTATTTTGCATTTTTTATCATTATAAGGGTAACATTTGCTAAATGTTTAAATATCTTGTTTCCTCTGGTTTTAATTGGGTGATAAGCAAAAATGTACGAAACCGAGTTAGGTCACTTCAGATTGACCCTTGGGAACGTTTTTGATTAGAATCATTTTGAAAGGTTTATTAAAAATTAAATAAGTTATTTCTTATTCTATCTGTAAACTACCAGAAACGTAACAGCCTAAAAATTGAAGGGAAATGATAATAATAAAAAAAATCTAACTTGAGGAG